TAGAGAAGGCCCTGATAGGCCATTGCATGAAGCTGTGAAGGTGAAGCCTGGTTGGCAATGGAGACCCCAAGAAGTTCGTGATGTCAGAGCTGTGAGGCATTTGCCAAGAAGACATGCATACAGGGAGTGGTACCAGCACAAGACAGAGATGTGTGTTGCACACAGCAAAGCTAGAGAGGCTGAGCCATCTAAGCCCTTTGGAAGTAAAGTCCCAGAAGTTGGATGTGGAGCTACTGGATTTGGTGTTTGCCCTGCTGGTTCTCTGTCTTGTTTTGGTCCAATATTTCCATACTATGCCTCCATTCCTTCCTTTTGGAATGGTAATGTGTATTCAGTTCCACTGTATGTTGGGAGTATGTAATTTGTCTTTTGAATTTATAGTAAGATATTTACCTGTGGACTGTGGACGTTTGAATAGTACTGAGATTGATAACAAGTTGGACTAAATGCATTTTGCATTTTATATGATCATGAGCCTAGGGGGCCAGGGGGTGGAATGTGGTGATTTGAATGGAAATGTCCCCCATAGGCTTCAAGTGTTTGGACATTTTGTCCCCAGATGATGGCACTGTTTTGGAGGTTTTAGAAGGTGTGGCTATCCTGAAGATGGGCTTAGAGAGTTCTTAAGCCTTGCCAGATGCCAGATCTCCAGTCGCCCTCTTTGCTTCCTGTGTCTGGTGATGATGTGAGAGCTTTGCTTCTACTGCTCCTGCTCCAGCCACCTCCAGCCACCATGCCTCCCTGCCATGACGGACTGTAATTCCCCTGGAACTGTAAACTCAAACTCTTCCTTCTATAAATTGCTTTGGTCAGTGTTTCTATCACAGCAACAGAACAGTGACTAATATAACTAGGTTTGGTTCCCAGTACTCACATAGCAGCTCAGAACTGCCTGGAACAGGAGTTCCAGGGGATCTGATGCCTTGTCTGACCTCTGTGGGCATGCACGTGGTACACATAAATGCATGCATACCTCTACCTCCACCCCCATGCTATGGGACACATGCAAACGCGTGCGCGCGCGCACACACACACACACACACACACACACACACAAAATAAATGCAATAAAAATTTATAAAAGAAGGACAGTGAGATGGCTCATCAGGTAAATGCAGCTGCTACCAGGCCTGATGACCTGAGTTTGATCCCCAGGACCCACATGGTACAAAGGCAGAACTTTTTACAAGTTGTCCTCTGACTTCCATATGTATGCCATGGCGTGAATGCCTCTTACCCCCTACAAAATAAATAAATGTAATAAAAAGACAAAAATGAATGAAAAAGAAATATTTGATGAAACAAAGCACTGACACATTCTCCAACATGGATTAGCCTCAAAGTCTCTGTGCTAAGTGCAATAAAGCCCTTAGGTTCAGACCTTGTATAATTTCATTTATTTGCAATGTTTTATTATTTTTTTTTAAGACAAGGTTTCACTATGTAGTTCAGGCTGGCCTTGAACTCACAATTATCCATCTGCCTCAGCCTTCAAGTGCTAGGATTACAGGTGTGTACCATCACCTCTGGCCAATTTCACTTATTTGAAATGCCTAGACTAGGTAAATCTATAGAGACAATAGGTAGATTAGTGGTTACCTAGGGCTGGGGAGGATGAGGCATTAAGTGCAATAGCTAGAGTGTGCGGTTTCTTTTGAGGGTAAGGAAAATGTTCTAAAATGGACTGTGTAATGAATGCATGGCTCTGGAAATATACTGAAAGCCACAGAACCACACACTGAGTGAGAGAAGTATATGGTATGTGAATTGTACCTGGCAAAAAATTATCAAAAAAGAAATATTTGACAAGTAAGCAAATGAAATAACTAAATATAAGAAGTGTGACTCTTGTTTTACTGTTACTTACACTCATAGATGATTAGAACCATGAAAAATGCCAGACCAGGAATATTCAGTCCTCCGTTCGTCGTGCATACCTTCATTCAGCACACATGTATGGAGAGAACCAGCGCTGCAGAGATGGCTTAGTGGCTAAGCCTGCTTCCTTTCCTACTAGACTAGAGGTTGGCTCCCAGCACCCATGTGGTAACACCAGCTCCACACACCCTTTTCTGACCTCTGTGGGCACATATATGCATGTGGTATACACTAAGACATACATACACATATACAAAAAAAGAAGGGGAAAAAACCTACAAATTTTGGATATGTGATTAATAATAAATAAGTTTTGCATATTACCAGCAAAATTAACTCATGAACTATGAACTACACTATATCTTGCCTCTGGGGATGCTGACACCTGCTGCTAGTACCACTGAACTTCCCATCTTTCAAGGTGGAGACAGTGAGCTGGCTTCTTTCAGGAGCAAGGTATTTTTAGGGCAGCAGAGCCAATGTCCCTTTGGATTTAGGAGGCTAACCCTCCAGGGAGAACTTATGCCCCACACAGAGGAGGAACATGAGGAGGCTAAGAGTGAAGTCTCTGCACTGAGGCTGACTTGGGTCCAACTCATACCTCTGCTACATAGAAGCAGTCTGTAAATTTGGGCAACACGGTTAACGTCTTTGTGTTTCAGTTTCCTCTTCAGTAAGGTGGGAAACAACCATTTCATGAGGATTTAGATAGTTGAAATAAGCAAATTTAAGTGGAACAGTGAAAGTAAATGCTTTCAGTCTGACTTATTCTAGAAACTGGGTGCTTTTCAGAAAACAAGATCTTTTGCTCTGCTTGAATTTTTAATCCTAGCTCAGAGTTAACTTAGGTACAGTTCAACTATGTCATTTAGTTAAAAAATGTGAATGGTAGACCAGGCGTGGTGGTGCACTCTTTTAATCTCAGCGCTCTGTAGGCAGAAGCAGGTAGATCTCTGTGAGATGGAGGCCAGACTGGTCTATAATAGTGAGTTTCAGGCCAGCTATGGTCACAGGGTGACCCTGCCCCAAAAAGACCAAAAAAAAAAAAATGTGAGTGGTGGGGAAACCAAACACAGAAATCGGGGACTCCTAACTCTCTCCCTCAAGATGGAGTCTGGGCTAATCTTGGAAGCCTTCTTTTAGCACACATGAAACTATCTTCCCTTCCCTCAATTCACGTTTTATCCTCTCCATACATTTCCACTCCCCACCTTCAACCTTCTTCATTACAAGTCATTGCCCACTCCTGCTCTGCTTTCCTCAGAACATCCTTGTGTGTGTGTATATGTGTGTGTGTGTGTGTGTGTGTATGTGTGTGTATGTGTGCATATGTGTCCCTGTGTCTTCATCTCACTACCCTCAGAATGTCTTCAGATCCTGAGGCTCCTCAAGGAAACCGCAAAGGATCACTGGATTTCTCTTAGGAAATAGGAAGTGTTGTATTTTGAGGCAGACTCCCATTAGATCCCTCTCTGGAGGCTAGCTTCTCTGCAGTGCTTTTCTCCCCATGTGTATTGTTTAGGTTTCTCTGAGAAGCTCTGGCACTCAGTGAAAAAAAAAAGAGCTAGTTTGAGACATACCTGGCTGCTTTCTGAGTGAGCTCCAGCGGGAAATCCGGGCACAGTAACTGCAGCAGACAGTGATACTCCCTCACGGTCAGCAAATCTGCAGTACAATGGAAAGGAGCAAGTTAGGACTCTACAGGTCAAGTCACTGCCCTCTCTTTGGGCTTTTCATGGATTTCAGATCTAGTCTTGTTAGAATGGCTTTTTGAAAGGTGAATCAGTGTAAAGGGATGAGATTTTAAGACTGATGCCCCTACAAAGCCTTTCCTGGGTGGAGACACCAGTTACAGCATTTTGACCAAAGGGGCGTCACTGGTTTTAGAACTGGTCAGGTGAAGAGAGGAAACGAGAGTACCTTCATCAGCCTTCTTAGCCTAGCTTTCCCTGATTCTAAAAATCTAGGTGAATGAGTCATGCCAAATTTAGTTAAGTTTGTTGGAAGTCTCTGGCATAGCAATATTTACCACTGCATGCCCTGAGACCATTCACAAATATCTGCAAGCAGCACCAAGGCCAACAGTGCTGTATGCATGGGGAAGAAGGCACAGCACAGAGACACACAGACCTTATTATTCTGCCAACCAGGACTGCAGCAGCTGACTTCTTTTGGATGCCTGCACAGAAATCTGGTCATCCTATTGAAGGAAGCCAAGATAAAGGTCCAAGATATATGATTAACATAAGCCACGGGTGCACATACCTACATGTAAGTAATACACTCATTCACATAAAATAAAAATGATAAGTAAAATATTTAAAAAGATATATAATCAAGGCAACCATGTAACTCCTGAGCTACAGAAGCAGAACTGTGGGAGAGAGAAGCCAAGAGCTCTGAAGTCCAGGTTTGCCAAAGAGGCAAATCTCAGAGGGGTTTATGGTTTGCCAAAGTCCAGGTTTGCCAAAGAGGCAAATCTCAGAGGGGTTTATGGTATCCCAACGGAGAAGAAATACACTGATGCTTAAAAGTTGTTTTGTTATGGCCTGTGCAATAGCTAAAATGTTCTGGATCAGTCAGGCAGCAGCAATTTGCAAGAATTCCCAAAGCCTTTTAAATATGGAAGGACATGCTCATGGTCAAGCAAGAGAAACCCACCCTTGGCCATCTCCAGTGGGAGGAGGATGAGTAGGGGAAGGGAATCCAGAGGGCATGGCTACACTGGGGAGTGAAGATGATGATCATAGGCACTTGGTTTCTTTGGATCTAAGTTAGCCCAAGCCACAGGAATCCAGATCTCCTGCCCCTGCTAGTTTGGTTGATGCTTTTCCAAGACAAAAACCCCCAAATCTCCAGAGGGTCAGGCCTGGACTTCTACCATTTTTTTCATCAAAGCTCACTTTAAGGTGGGGGCAGAGAATTAAGCTAACCACAGTGCCAAAGGCAGGGACATCAAAGAAACAGGCACAATGTCAATATAGGTCAAGGAATCGAGATGGCTTTTGCAGCCTTGGTCTTGGCCATAGTGGGCTATGCACTCTCTTCTCCGCACTTGCCTGACCTAGCACAGCCTGGCAGGAGGTCTTGTTCTTCAAGGACAGGAATGATAGCTGCTCACTGACTTAGGGTGAAGGGCAGGAGAGATGGAGGAAAGGGAGAAAAGACACTGAATCTAAAGGCTGTCCACTTTATTCTTACTCTATAACTCTCTGTATGGAAGAGGAGTGTTCTCTGACAGGGAGTAAATAAAAGAAAGCTCTGTCTTTGATCATTAAGTATTTTCCTATGTTAAACTTTGGTGGATGTATCTGACACCATTATTGGGGATGGGTCAGAATGTTACGGAGAAATTAATATTTATCCCCCAAATTACCTGGAAAAAAACTTTGGGAAGAGAAAAGGCAGAAGAAAATGAGAGAAGAGGGAAGGAGAGAGAGGAGGTACATAATTCCCATATAATTTAATCACCACATCTGCTAAAGACTGCAGGGAATCACTCAATCACTCAGCCTCCTGGTTCCAGAGCCTAGGCCCCTTTTAAGGTTCTTTTTGTTTTTGTGATGCTGGGAGACAAACACACACTACACAAGTAATCTACCACTAAGCACTCTCTCTTTCTGTGTGTATAGGCTATAGAACCACCTTGGTTATAGTTCCTTAGATGCCATCAATCTTGTTTTTTTGTTCTTGGTCTTTTTTGAGACAGGGTCTCCCTGTAGCCTCAGCTGTCCTAGAACTTACTAGGTAGACTACCTGTCTATGCCTCCCAAGTGCTGGGACTAAACGCACGCACCAGCATGCCTGGTTTCAAACTTGTTTTTTTGATGGAGTCACTAATTGGTTGACCTGGAGCTCACTGATTAGGCTGGTCAGTAAACCCTAAAGTTCCTCCTGCTTCTGCCTCCCCAGTGCTGAGATGAATGTCATGCACTACTCTTAGCATTTTTCTTTTTCTTTTAATTACATGGGTTCTAGGGATTGAACTCAGGTCCTCATGCATGTGAGACAAGCACTTTACTGACAGTTGTCTCCCCAGTTCCCTTTTAGGTTCTAGATGTGGTTCTGACACATTCATGTATTTCAAGTACTCGCTTTCCAAGAGGGGGAGAATAATTTACAAAAATCACTTTTTTCCTCTCTGATGCAATAGAAAGTTCTTAGGACTATTAACACTGTAATAAATCCGGCACACCACTTCTGGAATTTGACTCTCCCAAATCTTGAGTGAAGAAGGTCATCATACAAGAGACTCATGAAAATGAAAGCAAATGGATTTTAATTGTGAGAGAGCAGCTCTGATTCCATCAGAGCAGTGGCCAGATAATATCAAGGCCAAGGGAGAGCCATCCTGTGCCTATGGGATGGGGCATGGCAAGTGAAAAGACTGGTTCTAAAATCCTTCTCTGCCCCACTGGCTAGGCTTCAAATCCTGCCTCTGCAATTCATGTATGTAACCTTGGGCAAACTTAATCTCTTGCCATTTTAGCTTCTCTGCTGTAAAATGGGGGTGATAATGCTTACTTTTCAGGATTGAAGTAAAAAGAGATGCTATCTATAAAGTACTTAGCAGAATGTCTGGATCTTAGTAACATCAAACAATTGGAGCTGTTTTGGTTTTGTTTTTAATTCCTGGGTGTTAAAGACAGGAGAGGAGAACAGGGAGGTGGTTTCTTCACTTGCTGCATTTGAATGCTTTGGTCTCCTAAGTGTTCAGTCTTGGACATTCTCTGTCAGGCTGCCTGGGCAAATTCATTTCCACTCTTCTAGCTATTCATTTGACATCCACAGTGCCTTGTGCCTTCCAGGCACAGCATTGCAGTGATGCAGTGATGCACAAGCCACAGAGCTGGGCTCTCCAGGCTTACACTCGCTAGCTCACTTGTGCATTTATTTGTTATCTCCCAAAGGTGCCACTGGGCACACTTGCTCTTTGGCTCTTAGCACTTTCTCCAAGATTCCAAAGGGCTTCCAAGCAGCCTTTTGTGCTCCAGGCTAACAGGAATGAGAGTGAATAGGTTTTGGGCTTTGTGCTCAGAGCTTGAATTAGTGCACTTAACCTTCACAGCAACCTTATGAAGGAGATTCCATTATTCCTAGTTCCATCTCACAGATAAGTGCATGGAAGCTCAGAAGACTTAATAACTTATGATCATGGGGGGGGGGCAGAACCCAGAGTGTAGCAAAGGGAAGATCCCAAACTGGGAAGGAAAAAAAAGTGTGTGTATGTGTGTGTGTGCGCACAAGAGGGGCGCAAAGAAAAGACCTGCTGGTGTTTTGAGCACATACCAGGCTCTACTCTTCTTGGGGTTTGTGTATATTATCTTATTTGATTTTCACCTTTTGTTTAATTTTTTTTCCTTTTAAAATTTCATTATCATTTGTGTGTGTGTGTGTGTGTGTGTGTGTGTGTGTGCGCCCGCCCCCCAGAGGCCAGAAGAGGGCATCAGATCCCTGTAACTGGAGTTACAGATGGTTGTGAGCCCACCACCATGGGTGGTGGGAACAGAACCTGAGTCCTCTGCAAGAGTAGCAGCTGTTCTTAACCAACGAGCCATCATCTCTCAAGCCCCTTTGTTTGCTTTTTTGGTTGTTTTGTTTTTGAAACAGGGTTTCCCTGTAGCCCCAGCTGGCCTGGAACTTGCTTTGTAGATCAGGCTGGCTTTGAACTCACAGAGATCCACTTGGTTCTGCCTCCTGAGTGCTGGGATTGGCTTGTTTGCATGTGTTTTGGAGGCAAGTTCACATTCTTAGCCCAGGCTTGCCTTGAACTTACAGCCATCATTTTACCTCTGTTTCCTGAGTGCTGCAATCACAGGCATGAGCCACTGGCTAATATTCACTGGCTAATGCGTTTTTAAAAAAATTACTGGAACTGGAGAGGTAGCTCAGAGGTTAAGAGGGCTGCTCTTGCAGAGGACCAGGATTCAGTTTCCAGTACCCACATGGTGTCTAACAACCATCCTTAACTCCAGTTCCAAGGGCTCTGACGCTTTCCTTCTGACATCCGAGGGCCTTGCACAACACAGATGCACTTATATACATGCAGGAAAAACACCCAGACACATGATATAAAAATAATAAGGGTGGAAGCTGGGCATGGTGGCTCATGCCTATAGTCTCAGCACTTGGGAGGCAGAGGCAGGCAGATTTCTGTGAGTTCCAGGACAGCCTGGTCTACATAGTGAGTTTCAGGCCAGCTGGAGCTACAGGGAGACCTGTTTCAAAAAAGACCAAAAATAATAATAGTAATAGTAATAATAATAATAATAATAATAATAATAATAATAATAAGGGTATGCATGCCAAGGCAGAAATTAGAGGACAACTCTATGGCACAGGTTCTATCCTTCCACCCTTACAAGGACATTGAACTCAGGTTGCCAGACTAATGGCAAGTGCCTGTACCCTCTGAGACATTTTGCTGGCCCTGATCCTATTTTTATCCCCACTTCACAGACACACAAATTCAGATTGTGTACACACAAAGGTAGAACTGGAATTCAGATACCAGTGGTAGCTCCAGAGCTTGCCTGCTAACACTTCAGCACCTTGATCTTTTCCACCAGATGTGGGAAGACTTAGGATTGTTTCCCTCCCCAAATAAACTGCAGCAGTTAACTAGCTCCAGGTGAACTGGATCAAGGACACAATCCTTATGAATC